GAAGGTGGAAAAGGAAGAGGAGGAGGAGGAGGAGGAGGAGGAGGAGGAGGAGGAGGAGGAGGAGAAGGAAGAGGAGGGAGACTTTTACAAGGCTCTGGTTGGTCTCTCCATGGCCCTGGAGATCAGAACCCGGGTTACAGGTATAGGTTGAAGCTGCAGTAGATTGAGCTCTGTGCAAAGAAAACAAACAAAGGCTGCCCACACTGAAGTCAGCCTCCCAGAGCCCTGTCTATAGGCATTCGAGCAGCCTGCATCAAGTGATTCAGAAGAAAAGGGAAGAATGGAAGAGGATTCAGAAGCGTGGGGGTGTCACAGAGGAGGAGCATGGAAGACAAAGAGAGGCAGAGGTGAAGAAAGGAAGGAGAGAAATAAGATGGGGCAGGGGCAGCGTTTGGAAGTTCTGGGTAAACCACCGCAAACCAGGGTCTCCCTTGCATTTCTTCCTTCATTAGTGACATAGCGATATCCTGAAACACCAGCAGATGGGGATATTGCCCTGAAAAAGGAGAAATTTGCAGCTCCCCATCCCCTATTCAAATTTTCCTTTTCTTAAAAACACACCAAAAGAGTTTCCCAAATACCTCTGAATCTCCAACTAAATTTAAGAAGTAAAGATTCTTATGGTAAATTTTGCATACCTTTAGTAATCCACACTTCTAATCCAGAAGAGGCCACTGTGAATCTTTGACTTTACGAGGCTCCCAGCACCTTGTCCCATTTCAGTTATTATTTAAGGTACGCATATGCATATGTTGTCTGTATATTTTGCGTCACTGTTAACTAGTTGAACAACACTGAGGCGCACTACAGTTCTGACCCAGCTCCCCATCTCTAAAACCTCCTTTCCTGGGCAGAATGTCTATCTTTTGAAGTCCTGCCTGTGGTGACTTCATCACTTTCCCACCGGTAACACAGCAGCCAATGCAAAGGGCTCTCAGTGACCATGTCCTGCCGGCAATGAGGTTCGTTAAAAGGGGGTCACTTTGGTGTGACAGCGCCTCCCACACTTCAACTGTACCCTCATTACTGTTGATTTCCAGTCAGAAGATCTGATGGGCCCCAGGTAATCATGCTGTTGTTTCCACAGGCCATGGCCCTCGGAGTAGCACGGCCATAGTGTCCCTATCCTATAGAGGGGCAAGACTCTTACCTCAAGAACTGTATTTGATTCCTTATACTGAGGTCTTCCTTGGCACCTCCTTTGTTTGTTTGTTTGGTTTTTGGTTTTTGGTTTTTTGATTTTTCAAGACAGGGTTTCTCTGTGTAGTTTTGGTGTCTGTCCTAGGTCTCGCTCTGTAGATCAGGCTGGCCTCGAATTCAGAGATTCACCTGGCTCTGCCTCCCGAGTGCTGGGATTAAAAGCGTGTGCCACTATCACCCGGCTTCTTGGCACCTCTTAACTTTGATATATCTGTTCATTTTTATTTAACCAGCGAACATTTACATAGTATCTATTATATATAAACCCTATGCTAACTGGTTTTAAGAATGTTCTAGGCTCCAAGAATTAGTGACCTATTACCTACCCTTTCACTCATTCATTCAATACTTATTTTTTTCACATCTATTTACATATTTATTTATTGTGATTGTGTGCAAGTGTATGCTACTGTGTAAGCTCTCTTCTCCCGTCCGGTGGGTTCTACCCACTAGGGGGGTCCTACGAAGACCGTCTAGCTTGATGGCAAATGCCTTTGTCCACGGAGCTATTTTGCCAGCTTTCTCAACCAACGTTTATTGAGAGTCTCCATTTTTACAGGACCTCCGAGGAGCTGGAGGTGCAGAAGTAAAAGAATAGAGATAAATTCGCTGGCTGGGTGTGATGGTGCATGCAACACCAGCCCTTGGCAGGAGGGTGAGGAGTTCATAGTCACCCTCAGGGACACAGTAGGTGGAGTTGGAAGGCAGCCTGAGCCTAAAGGGAAGAAGGGACCTCAGCCCCTCCCCCATTTCATATTGTCCACCAAATGAGCAGTTTTGCTCTACACACATTCCTTCTTGGGAACCAGATAAATAAATAATTTAAAAATGAAATGTGTTTCCAGTTAGCTCCAAAATTAGTTATTAACATCAAAGAAACAGCATGGAAAAGATTGACAGAAGCAGCGGATGAATAATTAGACAACGAATCCCTTTCCATCTCTTCATCTCCCTTTCTGGAAACAATTAACCGAGAACAATTGAGTAGGGGCAAAGAAAGTAACCTTCCAGTCAAAGAGCTGTGACAGCTAAAAGCAAAGCTGTGTGTGTGTGTGTGTGTGTGTGTGTGTGTGTGTGTGACAGCTCTCACTTGAGCCCAAGCCGCCCTCAAGTTCACAGCAGTCTTCCTAGCTTAGCCTCTCAAATTCTGGCATCACAAGCGTAAGGCATAGCATCAGGCTGTAACAGGATTTTTGACAGGATCGTTTAGCTGTGAAGAAGCACCAAGACAGTAGTGAATTTGAATAATGGGAGGATTATATAGTTGTATCAAAGTTAATTTTCTTATTCCGGTAACTGTATTGAAATTGCTTAAGGAGAGGCCCGGCTTTAGTCAGTTTTTTTCTGTTACTGTAACAAAATAGACTAGACAAAGCTGGGGGGCAGATCTCTGTAAATTTGAGGCCAGTCTGGTTTACAGAGTGAGTTCCAGGCCAGCCAGGATCACACACACACACACACACACACACACACACACACACACACACACACACTGCTGTCTAAAACAACACAACAAAATGAAGACAAACAACTCATAAAAAGGAACAATTTATTTTCTTTTGGTTCATAGGTTTGGACGTTTTCAATGACTGATTGGTCCCATAGCTTAGAGCCTGGGGTGAGCAGTATATCACAAAAGCAAAGCTGTTCATCTGGCAGTCAGGTAGGAAAGAGGAGGAAGGCCTGGTGGCTTTCTCTTTGAGGCCATGCCCTTCCTTTCAATTTCATGCAATCCAGTCTCTTGAAGATACTCATCCCAAGTCTTAAAGTTTCCACCATCTCCAACAGTTTCATGGGGGTTGGACAGCTTTTTTTTTTTTTTCTTAAGATTTATTTATTTATAATGTATAGTGTTCTGTCTGCACATATCCCTGCAGGCCAGAAGAGGGCACCAGATCTCATTACAGATGGTTGTGAACCACCATGTGCTTGCTGGGAATTGAACTCAGGACCTTTGAGCCATGCTCTTAACCTCTGAGCCATCTCTCCAGCCCCCCCCCCTTTTAAGATTTGTTTATTTATTATGTACACTGAGGTTTTGCCTACATGCATATCTGTGTGAGGATGCCAGATCCCCTGGAATTGGAGTTACAGACAGTTGTGAGCTGTTATGTGGTTGCTGGGAATTGAACCTTGGTCCTTTGGAAGAGCAGCCACTGCTCTAATCTCTGAGCCATCTCTCCAGCTCCTGTTGTTGCACAGCTTTTAAAGGATTTTTCAAAAGATTTATTTGCCGGGCGGTGGTGGCGCACGCCTTTAACCCCAGCACTCGGGAGGCAGAGGTAGGTGGATCTCTGTGAGTTCGAGGCCAGCCTGGACTACCAAGTGAGTTCCAGGAAAGGTGCAAAGCTACACAGAGAAACCCTGTCTTGAAAAACCAAAAAAAAAAAAAAAAAAGATTTATTTATTTTGTGTGTATGAATGTGCTTGTGCAGACCACATGTGTTCAGGCGGCAAGGAGGCCAGAAGAGGGCTTAGGATTCCCTGGAACCAGAGTTCCCGGTAGTTGCCCAGGGACATGGTTGTTGGGAACTGAACCTGAGTAGTCTTTAAGAGCAGCAAATGCTCTTGACCGCTGCGTCATGTTTCCGACCACATAGAACAAGCCTTTAATACATAGGTATTTGGAGGACAGTCTACACTCAAACTATACCAAGTCCTTTGGACATAGGAAAGTCTAGTCTTCAGTGGTGAGTGGGTTATCAGATTGACAATTTTAATTTTCAGGGGAGAAGTTCTTTGTAATGTACTTGCAATTTTTTTCCTTCAAGATGGGGTTTCTCTGTGTTGCCCTGACTGTCGTGGAACTCGTTCTGTAGACCAGGCTGGTCTCGAACTCAGAGATCCGCCTGCCTCTGCCTCTGGAGTGCTGGGATTAAAGGTGTGCGCCACCGCCGCTGGGCTCGCAATGTTTTTGTATGTTGCCGTTTCTATAATGGAGTAATTAGGAAAGCGTGGCAAAGGCTCATGAAAGCATTAGGGTCACTGTAATTGTCTGGGTGTTGAAGTGGGCATGAGGTTCTCCAAAGACAGTATTTTGGAGAACAAAGATGAATCAGCCTTGACCTGTATTGGGCAAAGGGGCTCTGGCCTAGGTCTATGCTCCTCCTCTTCCTATGATAGCTCCCCACGAGGAAAAAAGAGTTGTTGAATCTGTCCATTACCCAAGACTCTTCCTCCTACTCCACGTCAGAAGCTGTCATCAAAATGACCTGAGTTCTCCGTGACTCCCTATGGCCTATCCTTCTGGAGTTGGTTGGGACAAAGAGCATTAACGCCTCTGCCAGAGGAGGTATCATGGTGGGAGATGGATAGAGCTTGCTCTCCAAGCGTGTGGATGGGAAGCTCTATGGAGCTGCCGCTGTCCCACGACCACATCCGCTTGGTGCTTTAGGACTTCATATTTGAGGATTCTAAGTTTCAACTTGGCCTTTTCAGGTCTTAGGAAGGTATTTTCGTGGGTGAGAGAAAAGACAGTCCTCTACCTACATGGAGCTAAGCTGGAGGTAGCTCCATGCAAAACCTAGGCTGAAGATGCTGTGTTTCTGCGTTTGGCCAGCTGGGATGCTGGCGGTGATAAAACTTAGGGCGCAGCCGGGAGCACTGTCCCAATCAGGTACCGCATCTCGCAGAGGCCCTCCTACCAGGGGGCGTGGCCATCGCGGGAGGAGCCAAGAGTGGTCCGCGACGAAGTCCACCATGCGAGGGGGCGTGGTCTCGCGACTGTGCTCTGGGCGGTGCCAGAGAGTCACTTCCGGTGTATGCGTCCGCGTGCGAGCCGGCGAGTTCATGGCTACCCCGGCGGCGTCTGCCATGCTGGACGGACAGACTGAAGACATGGAGACCGAGGTGCAACAGAGTGCAAGGTGGCTGTACTGTGGGGAGCCTGACGACAGGCAGAAAGCTGTGCTGGGTAAAGACTGCGGAACCGGACCGGCCTAGCCCTATCCCCTTCTGTCTGGGCACCGCGTAGCCCTCTTGCCCACTGCCTGGAGCTGGGACAGAGCCCCAGCCATCCTCCCATTCCTCTGTCATGACTTCACAGCTACGCGGGGACACTTCTCAGGGCAATGCCCAGGACCTGGCCATCTCACCAGGTCTCTCGTTCGCCCCTTTCCCCCTCCACGGAGCAGAGTTCCCGCTTTCTTCTGCCAGTTAATGACATTCCCGCAGTCATTTTCTCTTGTCATAACCTCTGCCCAGAGGCCACCCCTCCACCCCCCATCTCCCTCTTTAGTACTGGACCAGGACTTTCTTCGGTCCCCCTGAAAGTCCGACATGAGCTCCCTTGCTATCGCCACGGATTCCCAACCACGGGTTTCCCCCTACACCCTGCTGGTCCTGCTCATCTTATTCTTGGGTTACACTTACAGTCCAGTTCTCCAATGGGAAGCTGCAGAACCCAGGCAACATGCGCTTCACCTTGTACAACAGCACCGACTCGGTAAACCACAGGCTGAAGAATCAGCGGATCCTGGTAAGTGCTGCAGGTACAGGTTGTCTGGGCTCTCCAGGGCAGATCTGAGAGGTCTTGAGGGGAGAAAAGGAGGAGTAGCAAATGGAACTGTGGCTGCACTGATGTGCAAGACTTTGGGTGAGACGACGACTTTTCACATATTTGGGTTTTATTTGTCTTTCGACACGGTGTTTCCGTGTAACTCTGGCTATACTGGAACTCACTGTGTAGACATAGCAGGCAGGCCTCGTCTCAGAGATCCGCCTGGCTCTGCCTCCCAAGTGCTAGGACTAAAGGTGTGCACCACCACTCCTGGCTTCCTGTATTTCTTTTTCCGACATGAACTTACTGAATATTCACTGTGTCCGCACGTAGCAGGCTCAGGAAGCGCCTAAGTCAGCTTTGGCAGCGTTCTTCAAGAGCTCAGCTTCAGCACCGTGTTACGTGTTTGGGTGTTTCTCATTGTTGTCTATGCACCGTGCATACGTGTGTGTGTGTGTGTGTGTGTGTGTGTGTGTGTGTGTGTGTGTGTAGCTGGTGTGTGTGTGTGTGTGTGTGTGTGTGTGTGTGTGTGTAGCTGGTGGAGGCCAGAAGGCGGCATTGTATTGTGAGCCACTTCGTGGGTGCTGGGAGTCAAATGCAGTCCTCTCGGAGGACTCCAGAGCCTTTTCTCCAGCTCCCAGCTTCAACACCATTGATGTTTTTGAGCCAGCTAATACTTTGTTATGGGTGAGTGGGTGCATTACAGGATGCTTTCTTCTTTTCTTTTTCTTTCTTTTTTTTTCCATGGTTTTTCAGGGTTTCTCTGTGTAACCTTGGCTGCCCTGGAACTCACTCTGAAGACCAGGTTGGTCTTGAACTCAAGAGATCTGCCTGCCTCTGCCTCCTGAGTGCTGGGATTAAAGGCGTGTGCTGCCACTACCTGGCTCCACTGCTTAATACCTTTTCTGGTCTCTACCCAGTAGGTGCGAGGGTTGAGATGTTTGCTTTCCAGAGATGTAATTTGTCTAGGTAGTACAGATGTACAGCAGAAAAATTTCAGGGTTTAGGGCCTGGGGAGCTCAGGAGGAAAAGAAGTCTCCACATGTCTGAATGCCTTCCTGGGAAGGGTGCATCAGAGTTGAGCTCTGCAAGAGTCGGGGACAGTTGGACAGCTGGGGTTTGGTGGCCAAAGTGAAAAGAAGGAAAGCTTGTCTGATTGGGAAATCAGCCAGCCATTCCCAGTGTCTGGGGTATAGGAAGAACTGATGTCGGAAAGGTTGGCAAAGCTCTAGAGCTTGGGCCAAGGCAGTTACTCACAGAACCATTGTACCCATAAGTGCTGGAAGACCAAGACCTCACTGTCCGGTTCTGTGGTGCTTTATTTTTCTCTCTCATTTTAAAATTTTTTATCTGGGGGCTGGAGAGATGGCTCAGCAGTTAAGAGTACTGACTGCTCTTCCAGAGGACCCAAGTTCAATTCCCAGCATGGCAGCTCACAACTGTCTGTAATTCCAGGTCCAGGGAACCTGACACCCTCACACAGGCATACATGCAGGCAAAACACCAATGCTCATAAAATCAAAATAAATTAAAATAAAATTGCATCTGTATTATCACTGCCTTCTGCCTAGTGCCTTCCGCCATGTCCCGTTTCCCTCCTGCTGCCTTCCTCCCAAGTAATTCTCCCTTTCGTGACATACGTACTGGGCTGGAGAGGTGGCCCAATGGCTAAGAGCACTTCCTGCTTTCCTGGAAGACCTGGGTTCAATTTCCTGCACCCCCATCGGGGCAACATCTGTCTGTAACTCCGGTTCCACAGGATCCAACACCCTCTCCTGGCTTCCAGCAGCACTGCGTAACTAAGGCATGCATATCAAACACATGAATATCTCATTACATACATGTGTTATTACCCTCTCGTTCCCCCTTCTTTTGCTACTCTTTCTCATGGTTCTACTCTCATGTCCTGAACGGGTACATGTACACACACACACACACACACACACACACTTAAATCTAGATTCTGCATATGAGAGAAAACCGTATTTGTTTTTCTAATTCTGATTTATTTAACTTAATTTAATTATTCATTTTCCCACCAATATTGTGGTTTTATTTTTCTTTATGATTGAAAAAATTCCATTGCGTACATGTACCACATTTTCTCTGTTTTCCCATTGATGGGCATCTGGCCTGGTTTCATTTCCTGGCTGTTGTAAATAGTGCAGCAATAAACATGATCGTAGACATATCTGTGTACGACTGCAGAAGAGTCCTTTGGGTGGATGCCCGAGAGCGGTGCAGCCGCCTCCCAGGGTCGCTCCTTTTTCAGTTTCTGAGGACCCTCCACATCGACTTTTATTGTGGCGGCAACAGTGTACACTTCCGGCAGCAGTGAATAAGGGTTCCTTTCCCCACATCCTCACCAGCATCTGTTGTTTGTTTTCTTTGGATAGCCATTCTGGTTGGGGTGTGATGGAATCGCTAAGCAATTTTTTTGGGAGGGGTGTTCAAGACAGGGTTTCTCTGTGTAGCCGTAGCTGTTCTGGGACTCACTCTGTAGACCAGGCTGGCCTCGAACTCACAGAGATCCACCTGCTTCTGCCTCCCAAGTGTTGGGATTAAAGGTGTGCGCCGCCACTGTCGGGCTCTCTAAGCAATTTTTAAAAACATTTCTTATTTGTGTGAGTTTGGGGAGGGAGGAAGGAGTGCACATATGCTGTGATGCACATTTGGAGGTCAGAGGACAACTTGGGGAGTCCTTTGTAACACGCGGGCGGGCCCTGGGGATTGAACTCAGGTCATCAGACTTAGTAGCAACCAGTTTTACTCAATGAGCCATCTTGCCAGCCCTCAAGGCAGGTTTTTTGTTTCTGTATTTTTTAAGTTTATTTTGTGTGAGAAAGTGTGTGTGCGTGTGTGCGTGTGTGTGTGTGTGTGTATATACTTGTGTGTGTGCGTGGGTGTGTGTGTGCGTGTGTGTGTGTGTGCGTGTGTGTGTGTGCGTGAGTGTGTGTGCGTGTGTGTGTGTGTGTGTGCGTGGGTGTGTGCGTGTGTGTGTGGGTGTGTGTGTATATACTTGTGTGTGTGCGTGGGTGTGTGTGCGTGTGTGTGCGTGTGTGTGTGCGTGTGCGTGTGTGTGTGTATATACTTGTGTGTGTGTGCGTGAGTGTGTGTGTGCGTGGGTGTGTGTGCGTGTGTGTGCGTGCGTGTGTGAGTGTGTGTGTGCGTGTGTGTGTGTATGTGTGTGTGTGTGCGTGGGTGTGGGTGTGTGTGCGTGTGTGTGTGCGTGGGTGTGTGTGCGTGTGTGTGTGTATGTGTGTGTGTGCGTGGGTGTGTGCGTGTGTATGTGTGTGTGCGTGTGTGTGGGTGTGTGTGCGTGTGTGTGGGTGTGCGTGGGTGTGCGTGTGTGTGCGTGGGTGTGTGTGTGTGTGCATGTGTGTATGTGCGTGTGTGTATGTGGGTGTGTGTGTGTGTGTACACATGCATGTGGAAGTGAGAGGACAACTTAGGGCACTGGATCTGCTCTTTAACCCTGTGGGGTCTGGGGCTCTAACTCAGGCCATCCATCATCTAAACCACAAAAGCTTTCTCCAGAGAGCCAGCTCAGCAGGCCTCCCCGCAGTTTTCCTCTGTATCTCTCCGACGGTTAAGGGTCTCGAGCACGTCTCAAATATTTTGAGCAGTTTGCGTCACTTCCTTTGAGAACTGTCTGCCTGGCTCATCAGCCCACTTATTGACTAGATTATTTGAGGGTTGATTTTATATTTAATTTTTACAGTTCTTTGTATATTCTAAATAGTAATCCCTTGTTGGATGAATATTACTATCCTTGGCGGGGATTTAGCCCCATCTCTATTCTCTATACTTTGGGTAATATTCGCTTTGCTGAGAAGAAGCTTTTCAATTTCATGCAATCCAGGGTGTCACTTCCCCCAAGAACTTCTTCACCTGTCACGTCGAAGCTTCCTTATGGTATTTGGAGTCCCCTCTCTAAAGTTTTCTTGCCTTTCCCCCAGAGACACCCTAGATTCCTGTAGATGTGGTGGGGCTAGATCACCTCCTGGAGGCTATCTCGGGCTGATACATTCTGGTCTTGGATTCTAAGGTTTCTGCACATGTCAAAAAGAGCCCATGCTCAGCACCCCTCAACACTGATTGTAATGGAACACTCCCTGTTTTTCAGGCAGCTGAAACAGACAGGCTCTCCTATGTTGGGAACAATTTTGGGACTGGCGCCCTCAAATGCAACACTCTTTGCAGGTAATGGACAGCTGGGCAGTGGCAGAGGTGCCAAGAGGGTTTCAGCGGTGACAGTGACACCACATCTTCAGTCTTTATCTTGGGGGTACTGGGGGGACCTGCAGGTTTACTAAGGCCTTGTGTTTCTAGACTCAAAAGTTCCTTATACTTGGTGTAGACGCCCCTCGAAAGGAAAAGATGGCTTGCGTTTGGCAAGTTCCTAAAGACCTCATTTGTTATGACATTATTTGTGACTGACTGTCCCAAAAGACAGCTGTGTCTGCTGTTTTAGAATGTGTGATCAGTAGGTCAAAGCTTGCCTCAGGCTTGCCTTGGCACAAGAGGATTTGGTATCTTCAAGGCCTCTGGGTTGGAAGAAAGGAACCCAGCGATGTCACTGGTGAAGTGAAGGACTTCGGCAACTTTGCTCTTTGCACGCCTCTGGTGTCCTCTGTGTAACAGCACCACCCAGCTTGAAGAGTCTTTAATTCACAGGCTGACACAGTGCAGAGGGGCTCTCATGATGGCCAACACTGAAGGCCTTTCAGTCCCTGCTGGGCTCCAGCCTGAAGGCAGAGTAACATAGTGTGCTAAATCTTAACATTGCATCCCCCTCACAAAGATGCCCTGCTTCAGCTAGATCTTCTCCCCAGGAGGAACAAGGTCTTACCGGTATTTGTCTCCATAAAATTCATGTGTGCCTAAATTCCATTTAATTCTAGATTCTTATGACCTCAGAAGTGTTTCCATTAACAGCAGTGGCTCTGAATGTGACCAGTTATCAGAAGTCTGGTGGCTTTTTCAGTCCACAACCATTTGATGTTCCCTCCCCTTTCATCACCTCCTGTTCCCGCTCCATGCAGGGATTGTTGTTACATGTGAACAAGTAGATGCCTTTCTCTGGCTAAAAGAAGCTAGGAATTTGTAAATAGGAAAAAAGAGGATTGTATAAATAATAACCTTTTGAATAACCTACTATCGTATTATTCCTTTTTTACTCAGACACTTTGTGGGAATTCTTAATAAGACCTCTGGCCAGATGGAAGTATATGATGCTGAGTTGTTCAACATGCAGCCACTCTTTGCTGGTAGGTTCCAGAAATGAAGACTCACTGAAAAGCTGCATACTTTGGGTTTGTTGAATTAGTTTGTTTTTGTTTTCTAAAAGGCATTTGTAATTTTTTTCTAAACGGCTTCCCCCACATACACCCTTTTGAGACAAGGTCTCATGTAGTCCAGGCTAGCCTTGAATTTGCTGGGTAGCTGAGGATGGCGTTGAACTTCTGGTCCTCCTGCTGTCAGTTCCTGAGTGCTGGCCTTACAGGTGTGTATCACCATGCAGGCTTATCTGGTGAAGGGGTGTGAACTCAAAACTTGGTGTCTACCCGGCAAACACAGCTTATCCTCAGCCATAATAGGGTGCCTTCTTGCCAAGTGGTTTGTTTTTGTTTTTGTTTTTTAATTTGAAAAGTTATATATATATTTTAAAAATATTTATTTACTTATTTATTTATCTAATGTGCATTGGTGTTTTGCCTGCATTTCTGTCTATGTGAGGGTGTTGGATCCCTTGGAACTGGAGTTACAGACAGTTGTGAACTGCCATGTGGGTGCTGGGAATTGAACTCAGGTCCTCTGGAAGAGCAGCCAGTGCTCTTAACCACTGAGTCATCTCTCTAGCCCCCTAGATATATATTTTTTAAGTGTATCATTTATTGATTCCATACTATACTTCAAGTACTAAGCTAAGGACCGTGTATGACAAGTAAGACTCTCTTCAGCATTTACAGATGTTGTCTCAGAAACCAGCCTTTAAGGCAAGATGAGTAGTCATCTGTACAGACTGTCAAGGGAGGTGTCTCATAGTTACATTCTTTTTCATTACAGACTTTTCTTAATTCTTCATGTGAGTGAGTACAGGTGTTCACATGCCACAGCCTGTATGGAGGTCAAAGCAGACTTTGACATGCTGTCCTGACCTACTTGTTTGAGACCTTGTGTCTGTTGGCTCTGAGTAGGCCAGCAGGCTACTCCTTGAGCATCTGGGGTTCTCTTGTCTCTGCTTCCCATCTTACCGTGGGAGCACTTGGATCCCGGATGTGTGCTACCATGCCCAGCTTCCCATGGGTTCTGGGGATTCATACTCAGGTCCTCACATTTGGATAGCAAGCTCTCTACGCATTGAACCATCCCTAAGACTTTCTTAATTCCAGTGGGAATTTTAAAAACTTATTATATTAGTTTATTTTTAGTGTGTGTGTATGTACACCACAGTGCATGTGTGGAGGTCACAGGCCAATTCAGGCAAGTGGATTTTCTCCTTCCAACATGTGGATCCAGGAATGGGAACTCACGTCACCAGGCTTGGTGACAAAAACCTTTATCTGCTGGCCCTCTACCAGCCCACCAAGGTGAAATTGTTTAAATTCTTCTTTTTTTTCCCCCGTTTTTTTTTTTTTTTTTTCGAGACAGGGTTTCTTTATATAGCTTTTGGAGCCTCTTCTGGAACTCACTCTGTAGACCAGGCTGGCCTCGAACTCACAGACTCACCCGTCTCCGCCTCCCGAGTTCTGGGATTAAAGGTGTGTGTCGCCGCCACCAGCTGGCTCTTTTCTTTCTTTTTCTTTTTTTCTTTTTTTAAGATTTATTAATTTTCTGTGTATGGTTCTATTGTCTACATGTGTGTCTGTGCACCACATGCATACCTTGCTCATGGAGGCCAGAAGAGGGAGTTGGATCCCTTGGAACTGGAGTTACACATGGTTGGTAGCCATCCTGTGGATGCTGGGAACTGAACTCGGGTCCTCTTGCCAGAGCAGCAAGTGCTCTTAACTGCCGAGTCATCTCTTCAGACTCCGAGGTTAAGTCTTGACGGGGTACATTTGTGTTTTGTGTAAGTAGTTTGTAAGCACTGGCTTGTTCCGGCCAGCACACGCACAGCTTCAGCTGTGGGTCCCTGCTGTGTGCCCCTCCCTGTTGTGCATACCTTTCATGAGCACCACAGAATTCCTCCCTACGCGCTGTTATTCCTTTGTTACCAGCCTTGGAACCTGGCTGAGTCAGGTGACCTGCTGCTGAGCTAACTCAGGCAGGGCCATAGCAGCGCTTGTGTTCTTGCCACCAGCTTATATGGCTCGCTATGTGAGTACTCTGTGGGAAGCTGGAGAGTGTCGTGGGAAAATCCACACTCCATTTACAGCTGCCTTTAAGTCTTTGACCAGAAAAGCAAATCTTCTTATGGGAAGAGCCAAGGACTTGGTTTCCGTTCCCTCTGGCCTGGCCTGGGACAATGCCCGGGCAGGTGACTGTGTCTGCAGGCCTCTTTTGTCCTTGTTTCTGACTAAGAGGTTAAAGTGGGGGACGCCCATTCTCCGGTTCTCCTACTTGTGTACTGAGGCGTACAGTCAGTAGTCACAGTGTACATTCATGTTAGGGAAATCTCGGAATAAGGAAGTCTGGTTTTCTTAGATTAATGCCAAATAAATGCTAAGCGCTATTAATATTTTGAAGGTCTTGCAGAGCTGAGCACAGTGACTGATGGCCTGCACCTCCCCCTGCTCGTGGGGTTGAGACCAGGGTAGCATTTGAACTCACAAGTTTAAGACCATCTTGGGCAGCATCGTGAGAGCCCATTAAAAAAATAGTCAAATACTCACGTTGTGAGCCTCACAGTGCACCTTCTTCCTGTTCTGTGTTTCTGTAGAAGATGCTATTGAGTATGAGCCTCCTCAGGAGAATCAGACCAAGACTTTCAGGGAAAAGGTGAGTGACAGTTATGGAAGCTTTCCCGGGGCCTGGTTTCCCCTTCGGTGCAACAGCCGCCTTGAACGTGGGCCTCACTGGCTTCTCCAGCTCAGTCGGTCTGTGGTTCTCTGCCTGGTTGCTACCCACAGAGACCTTCCAGTTTCCTAGGGAGCAGGCCTGCTGCTGCCTTGGCCAGGTGAACACGCTAATGTCAGCATTTGCACCCTGTTCTCTGGGTTGCTAGAGCTGTAGCAGAAAGCTTTTGAGGTTTTGGTCCACACTGTAGAAAATGGTTGTACTGGAGACTCACATAAACAAAGGAAGTTCTTGGTGAGGTCATGTTGCCCGGGGTGGCGGCCTGAGCTTTCCGTGTTGCCTGGACCACTGCAGCGAGAAGACGACCCTGTGGTTCGGTGGGGAGTGAGTGGTTTATTCACTGTGTCTGTTACTGGGGCAGATGGCAGATTGGTAGGCTCTGTGCCGCCGACTTACCCACCCCGATTGCAGTCAAGTCGTCTTTTTGTACTGATGGAAAGCTAACTATAGATTTGGGAGTCAGTGCAGCAAACCCCAGTCCTGATGTGGAACAGTCTTGCGAGGTGGACAGGTATGAGAAAGGACTCGGCCTGATGGACAGATGAGGTAATCCTGACTTAGGGAGCCCAGAGCTTGCTCGTGCTTACATACCTGGAAACAGCCGTGCTGCCCAGCCTGTCCTTAGGAATTGAGTTTGTTTCTTACACAGTTGGATTCTTGCATTGAAGCCTTTGGAAGCACCAAGCAGAAGCGGTCCCTGAACTCCAGGAGAATGAACAAAGTTGGCAGCGAATCTTTGAATCTCACAGTAACTAAAGCCGCAGAGAACATCATTGATACAAAGGGTGTGAATGGTAAGCCGCTGGAACTTGGGGTAAAGAGTGTGCCTGAAAAGACTTGACATCTGCCACTCACCTCACAGATGCAGGTGGTGACACTGTCCTGTCTGCAGTCAAGGGGAGGAGGCAGGCATGGGAAGGGACATGTGCAAGCCCCGCCCTTGGTGCACGGCCGTAGCTTCTCTGATGTTGTGTAGTGATTGTTTATTAGCACGAGTCTCTTTAACTCCATTCTGAGTTACTTGAGGGCAAACCCACTGTATCCACCTTCTGCGTGGCTGGGACTCCTGGAGCATCAGCCTGACGGGCAGTTCAGATCTTGGCAGGTGTCAGATTTGAGTTTTGGACCATGTGGTCTCCACTGCATGGGGTTCATGGAGTGTTGCAGAGCCTGCATCCAGGCAGAGCCTGCAGCCAGACAGGGTGCCACTCACATGAATTTTCCTCCACTGAAAGCTCTGGTCAGCGATGCCATGCAGGATGACCTGCAGGATGACTCCCTCTACCTCCCTCCCTGCTATGCTGATGCAACCAAGCCCGAAGACGTGTACAGATTCGAAGACAGTATCCTTGCAGCTGGAAAGGTGCCGAATTTGCAGGCTATGATGTTTGTACACATTGGCAGAGCCAGGCTGTGTAAGGGTGGTCATGGTCCCGTGACATTAATAAGCGTGACATCCAAACCTTTTCCCACGTCCCAGTGCTGTTAGTGAGAGATTGGTCAGTTCAGCTTCCTCATCAGCAGAGGGACCCACTCCTGGGAATCAAACCCACCATTCAGTAACAGGACAGAGGGGCACAGCTTAGCCCTGTGGGAGTCATTCTCCACAAATCATCAGAATATAACCTTTGAGTTGGCTGGTATCAAAGACTAGAGCAGAACACTGAAAGAAGGGTTGGAGCATAGAACTCCTGGCTAATTGGAGAATGCTGACAGAGGCTCTGGTAATGAAGAGAAGGGGGCGAGGTCCAGGGAGGAAGTGACCCCTGGACTGGGGTCTAAGATTCGGGTCTGCGCTCCACCTTACGTCCTCTGTGAGTCCCTTCTCTGTGGCCTTAGCTTTCCTGCCTGGGAAATGAGGCCCCGTGAGATGACTTAGCTCAGTGGTTTTCCATTGTGGTCAGTCATGTTCTTGACCTGCAACCAGTTCTGTCCCCGGCTGAGTATGATGCTCTTAAGAGCCCATCCGAAGCGTTCAGAAAGGTCACATCAGAAGACATCCTGAAGATGGTTGAGGAGAACAGGTATTCATGGGCAGACGGGCAGCTGTGAGTCACGATGGGAAACAGGACCTGACAGAGAACACTGAGTGCTGAGACCACTCCGAAAGGAGAGTCAGTGGGGAGGGGTCTGCTCAGCCGGGGAATGAAGGAGCAAGCTTTGACGCTAGGCTTCCAGGAGCTGTGGGTGGATTCAGGGGGAGGACTGGCTTATGTGTGTAGAGCCTACAGCTGGAGAGATGGTGGCAGGGTCCTGTAATGGGGCCTGGGACCAAAGCCAGCTCCAGACCCACCATTGTGTTGACGCTGATTGTCACTGGCAATGCCCAGAGGCTGGCATTGGCGTGGGTGCTAGCCACAGTGAGAGGTTCTCTGTGACGGTGTGCTTGCCAACCTTTCTAAAATTAAATATACATGTTTTAAATATTGTGTATTTAGTTGAAATAACAGAGATTAACCCTCTTAAAACAACTTTTTGATTGTGGTTAGATTATTTCTTAGTTCTGAGTCTTCTAATTATTCCTTTCTTCTTTTTTTCTAAGATTATGTATGTGTGTATATGGCATGAGTGTGGGTGCCAGTGGAAGATGTCACTGGATCCCCTAGATCTGTAGTTACAGGCAGTTGTGAGTGGCCCAGTGGGGGTGCTGGGAACAAACCAGGCCCTCTGCAAGAGCAGCAAGTGCTCCGAACTGCCGAGCCACCTCTTCAGCCCTGCTCTTTTCTGTTTTTTTTTTTTTTTTTAGATTTTGTGTGTGTCTGAGTGTGAGTGTGTGTGTGTGTGTCTGAGTGTGTGAGTATGTGTCTGAGTGTGTGCGGTGGTGTTTGTGTGGGGCTTGTGTACATGTGAGGTCTGGGGTTGATCTTGGGAATTATTCCCTATTGTTGTTCGGCCTTGAGCAGTGAGGTGGAGTCTGTCACTCAAACCCTGCGCACCGGCCAGGCCTAGCCTCCCTAGCCCCCTTGCTCAGTGTATGGAGGGTGTGGGGACAGTGTGCTGGTGGGCTCCTGACAGCCTGTCTGTCTGTCTGTCTGTCCCTCACGTGCTGCTCTTCCCCTCCTTGTTTTAGCCACTGTTCCTTCGTCATCGAAATGCTGAAGTCGCTGCCGTCAGATGAGGGGCGTCGAGACCGGCAGGCCCGGAGCATCTGGTTTCTAGATGCCCTCGTCAGATTTCGAGCTCAGAAAGTGATAAAGGGGAAAAGTAAGCCCCCCCCCCCCCCCCAGACATTTCATCCTCGTTCTGTCCACGGGTTACTTGTCTGTAATTCTCTCATCACCCCAGGGATGTCTGTCCGGCCCTCCGAGCAATCTGCCCTTCCTCCTGAGCCTCGCGGGGCTCTCCTCTTTGTATTTCCTTCTTCCGTTCTGGAAATGGGGACAGGGTGATGGGGCTTCCAGAGAGCACATTCCCTGCTTCTCTTTTGTTAGGTAAAACACAGTATCCAGGTCAGATGAGATGAATAATTTAAGGGAGGCTGTTAGCACACACACCACTTAGAGAAGGAGCAGAAGTCAGGGCTTTGCTGGGAAGAAGCTTGAGGCAGGCGTTGTTTTAGGACAGTCTCACTACACAGCCCTGGTTGGCTGAAACTCACTGTACAGTTCAGACTGGCCTGGAACTCAGAGATCCACCTGCCTCTGCCTCTCCAGTGCTGGAATTAAAGGCGTGCCCCACTGTGCTTGGCATTTTCTTTCTTTTTTTGGAGGGGGGTGTTGTGGCAGTTTATTTCACACTGAGAGAGTTAGTTTGAATGTTTAAAATTCAGTTCCACCTGTTTTCTAGGACCATATGTGGTGGTCCTCTCTCCTACCCACCCCAAGTTGGAAAGCCAGCAGGAGCCACCTGGGGTTTTCAGCATAAGGTGTGTCTGTTCACTGTTACTGTGAAAGGCACCGAGGATGGAGGTGTGCCCACCTCCTTGACTCATGTTTCGTATCCCAGTCTCTCCAGTGGGAGGTCGTGTGGGGTGCGTGCCTAGTGTATCTATGCTCAGAGGACAACTTTAGGATCAGTTGTCCGTATAGCCACGTGAATCCTGGGGATGGAACCCGGTGGCATGTCTTTACCCACTGAACCTTCTCACTGGCTCCATCTGCAATCTACTTTATTTTCCAACATCTTAGTGTGTGTTCTTAGTCCTCCTCAGCCTGTTTATTCTGCCTTTTCACACACCCTTCACAAACACGTCTTGTGTGCGTCTGATCTTAAAGTGGCTGCTTTGGATCTTGGGCCCCTGTTCCTCTTATCATGGGGTTCTGGCCATTACAGCCCTCTACGCCCCCTTATGGATGTGTGGCCTGTGGACTTTCCAGGAAAATGATCCATGCAACCTTGTGTTCTAGGTGCCCTGGGGCCTGGAATCCCCCACATCATCAACGCCAAGCTGCTGAAGCACTTCACCTGCCTGACCTACAACAGCGGCAGGTCAGGGAGCTCTTCCGGGGAAGGAGAAGCGGATGGGGGGGCGGGGGGGGGGGGGGTCAGGTACAGTTCCGTCCAGACATCCAGTGCCAAAGAGCTCACTGCCATTTGGCAGGCTCCTGGGGACACATCTCCATCCTCCACTGTCCCCCTCGGAAGTGTTCATTGGTCTTTGGCTGTGGGGCACCCTGCAGGGAAGTGCTCACTGATGAGCACAGTGCTGCGGAAGAGGCATGGTGACTTAGAAGACAACTTCCAGCAGTCTCCTGGCCCTGCCTGCTGCTGTTTGATGGGGCTGTGCTTCCTGCTCCTGATTGTCCTGGGCGCCATTGAGTTTGGGGTGGTTCTTCCTGTAGGCCTGCTGAGCAGACAGTAACAGACTCATACAGAGGGCTTTCATGAGTGCAGTGCTACCACACCACCTGGGGAAATGTGGGCAGGGCTTTGTCTGTCTGTCAGGAGAAACAGGGGCTGACTCACTGTCCACTGGGAGACTTGGGCACCTTGGAAGACAGGTTGTGTGGCTTGACCCCCCGCTCCCCAAACTGGGGACATTGACTACAGAGTTAGGATAGGGCTCTGGTGTCCTTACATAGCACTTGGAATTTAACTTCATTTCTCCTCCGTTGCCTCTGACTCTGCAGTTTACGGAACTTAATTTCAAGTTCTATGAAGGCCAAGATCACTGCGTATGCAATCGTACTTGCCTTGCACATAAATAACTTCCAGATAGACCTGACAGTGTTGCAGGGGGACCTGAAACTCAGTGAGAAAAGGTGAGCAAAGTAGAGCAATGCTGGGCCCTGCAGCCGCCTGCTGGGTTCCACTCCTGCCCAGAGCACGAGGCTCTGCTGAAGGGTGGTTAAGGGACAGGAGTCTCATGGAAATATCTTGGGACCAGAAGACAATTTTCAATGAATGAATGATTGATTGGTGAGAAACTTTGAGTGCCTTCTCTTTGCAAGGCATGGTACTGAATTCATTCACAGTCCCTCGTTGATTTCCCAAAATCTAACAAGAATCTAAGGTCTGGAGAAGTAAAGACTTTCTCAAGATCTCACTCCCCAAAAGTGTGCTTTCTGTTCTGAGTAGCCCTGTGTGCTTTGAATTGCTGTGACTAGGGAGGGCTCCTCTGTGGAGCCAGGGGTGAAGAAGCGAGGGTGGAGGCAGAGAACAACCCAGCCTCAGGGTCCAGAGCACAGTGTGCTCTTGGCCCCTGTCAGACCTGAACTGCACACACAGGGCCCCTCTCCATGTGTTCTGTTTCTTCCCTAGGATGATTGAGATAGCAAAAGCCATGAGGCTGAAGATCTCCAAAAGAAAGGTGACCCTGGCAGATGGCAGGGAAGAGGATCACAAACTGGGCACTCTGTCTGTCCCCCTGCCTCCGGTCCAGACCTCAGACCGCTCAAAGCGGAAGAAGATGAGCTAGATGTTTCCAGACGGGCTGTTCTGGCCACTCCCATTTTTATTTTCTGAAAGGAAGCTGACTGGATGTTGTGGGACTTATCTATAACCCAAGTACTCAGGAGACTGAGGCAGGAGGAGAATTGCAGAGCCTGGGCCTGTCTGGGACTCTGCTGTGCTCCACGACCCCTGAGGCCTTACACATGGTTATCATGCCTGAAGCCAGCATCCCAGTTATACCTCTCATGCAGAAATTAAAGCGATGGCCCAGGTTTGACTCCATCCTACTCCTTTGGTGTTGCTGTGGTTACAAATGGCAGATGTCTCTCCTGCTGGGTCATGTGCAGAGTTTGGGGGACTCTGGGGACATTTGGGTCAAAGGATCACATCAGGCTCAACTTAGAGCCTAAAGAAAGGATGAAAATGGGGCTGGAGAGATGGCTCAGAGGTTAAGAACACTGGTTGGTCTTCCAGAGGTCCTGAGTTCAATTCCCAGCAACCACATGGTGGCTCACAGCCATCGGTAATGAGATCTGGCGCCCTCTTCTGACCTGCAGGCATACATGTAGGCAGAATACTGTATACATAATAAAATAAATCTTAAAAAAAAGAAAAAAAGAAAAAAGAAAACAAACCTTAAAAAAGGAAAAAAAGTAAGTTCGAGGCCAGCCTGGGCTACAGAGTGAGTTCCAGGATAGGCTCCAAAAGCTACACAGAGAAACCTTGTCTCGAAAAAACAAAACAAAAAAGGATGAAGATTTATAAAGAGGACTCAGAAGGACCCCGCAGTAGGTGGAGGAGGACCGAGCAGAGCAGGGATCAGAGGAGGCTCCCAGCTCTGCTAGGGTGGGTGGTGGATCTAAAATGACAGCTACTACAATACAGCAGAGCCAGATCAGGAAGTGACAGGCACAGCTTTTCTTCCTCGTGGAGACCACACAGAGGGGCCCGGTTGGCCAAGTGAGTGGGGACTTGGAGATGAATGCAAATGGAAAGCGTGATCACCATGGGGTCTCACTTGGTTTTGGGTTCAGGCCTTGGCAGACCCACTGGTTCCTAGAGGCTTGAGTCTTCACAGCACCAGGTAATCCTGTGGTCATGACTGCAGTGAGTTTAAGACAGGCTGACTGGAAGCCTGTCATGGGTCCACACGGTGTGAGGGGAACCAACACATGCAGGTTGTCCTGCCTCCTCTCACGAGCTGTGGCGCATACACATCCTTACCAACAGGACTTCAAAACAACAACAGTTCTTTGGGGGCTGGAGAGCTCAGTAGTTAAAGGTCCCACAAACACCTAAGTTCCAGCCCAACACCCACATGCCCAACACCGGGAAGCAGACCTAGCTGCCAGCCTCACTGGAAAGCATGCACACTGGGTTCCAGGAGAGCCCTTGCCTCAGAGGAAGAAGGCAGAGTCACAGGACACCGGATACTCCGGCCTTTCCGCGCACATGCCACACACTACACAAAGGAGATGGATCCTCTAGGACACTGGAAGAAAGAGATACATAAGGCAACTCACAGGTCTCGTCTGAGCTGGCAGTGGTGGCACATGCCTGTCATCCCAGCATTTGAGAGGTTGCTTCAGCTACACATGACCGCTTGAAGAACAAAGCAGTCGGTAAGAAGCCCATGGCGGAGGTCAGTAAGAGGGAGCACTCCCTGAACATCCCTTGTTCAGAGAAGAGTTCAAAACATGGGTTTGCCTTAGCTTAGGGGTGAGCTGCTGAGAGTTAAACCAAACCATTTTCTAAGGAAAGGAAATAAGACTAAGAAAACTGACAAAAGTATTTAATCCTGGGGCCAGGAGATGGCTTAGTATTCAGTAAAGGTACTTGCCACCAAGCCTGACGACCCGAGTTCACTCCCTGGAACCCACACCGGAGAAGCAGAGAACCACCTTCCCCCAAAGTTGCCCTCTGACCTCTACATGTGTGCCATTGACAACACACACACACACACACACACATGTCAAAACACTAATATAAAACAGTCCTAAGCCCGAGCTCATCACCTAAGCCTGAGCGGAGGTGGGTACAGAAAAACTCAGATGCTGAGGGAGGGACCCAAGTCCAGGAAGGCATGCTCATGTATCTGAGGACTCTGCTCAGCAGGTGATCTGCATGGAGGTGGTGTCAGCGTTTGTCTTCAGAAGGGCCCCTAGGCAGGACTGGAGTTCAACTTTTGAATTCAGCATGGTGGGAGCAAGCTGATACGATGAGTCCCGAGTCCTGCTGTCTCGGTGGAGGCAGAGGCACCCGTAGGGGCCTGCTGGTCACCTGAAACTCCAGCAAATGTGTGGACAACTTAAGACCCCGGAAGCGCCTCCTTTAAAATATATAGAACTTTATTTTGGTTGCTGAGATTTTTTTTAAGTACTTGGTTCACAGAAAAGTCATTTCTTACAAAATAACAAAGGCAGCATTTTATACAGCGACTCACACTGCGTCCACCAAACAGAAGTGCAAAGGACAGTACTGCAGACCAGTGTTCTTGTTCCCAGAGTGCTTCGGGAGAAGTCAGCTCCCCTCCTGCCCACCCAACAGCAGCACCCAGGGCTCCACAGGGCCAGCGGGATCTGGCCCAGGAGGACAGTGACCCCAAAGACTGGGGAGGGCCCTGCAGTAAAGGCCCAGTGGGAGAGGGATCGTCAAGGCGGAGCTGGCCCTGCATGCAGTCCCTTCCACAGTGGGGTCCAAGCCCACCTGGCTCTCGAAGCTTGTCACAGTCACAGTACAGTCTAGTGAGGCCCTTTGGGAGCTGGTCTCATCACATAGGCCACTAACTCAACTCTGGCCCTGGGCTGGGACTTAAGGACACAGACAGAGGTGGCTCTGCCTTCAGAGTCACAGGTAAATAGGCAGGACAGGGTATGGACCCAGAGAGTTCCAAAGCAAGGCAGAAAGTGCTCAGTGCCCTGAGAGGGAGCGAGAGGGTCGGTGAGGCTTGGGGTTGGGGGGGACAATATCACCTGCAGCAAGGGGAGTCACATGGAGATGGCAGTGTCTGAGCTAACCCTTGACTGAAACGTGGGGCCTGCACGTATGGAGATGGCTGGGAAGGGCATGCCAGGAGGACGGACAAGCTCAAGCCAAGGCACAAGTGGGGACTATGGTAGGGCTGGTCGAGGCACAAGTGGGGACTATGGTAGGGCTGGTCGAGGCAGCCGATCATCCACGAGGACGTGGGCATGGCAGAGGGCTCCTCCAGCTAGACAGCCTGGAGCTCGCAGGGGCAGCTGGGAGGCGTGCCCACACACACTGAATCCTGTGGCAGGATGAGCTAATGCTCTGAACTTGGGGGGCTCCTGGAGGACAGTGGGGCTGTGTTCATCCCCATGCAGCCCGCCCGGCCGGCCTGCACACCTGATGGCCCAGCACCACCTGTCCCTCTTCTTTACAGCATGTCCCCTGGTCACTCCTGGGGCAGCTTTTCAGGAGGAACTCCCTGCTCCAAGCCCCTTCCTTGCTCACAAGGCCATGTGCCAGTCTGAGAACCGTCTTTAGTGAAAACACTGCAGCCCCCAGAGGCAGCTGGGAGGCTTGTACAGTCCACGGAGGGACCAAGAGGGGCAGGTCCAGGAAAGGGGGCAGCTATCCACCTTACCACAGCTACTTCCCTTCTTCCCTGAGAAGAGTCTAGGCTTGGTCTGTGTGAAGTGAGGTTCTCTGCAGCGTGGAATAACTGACCTAAAACCGCGTGTGCTATCTGAACTTCCCTAGCTCTTCATAACCTCTGAGTGCTGGAGCAACTGGAAACACTCCCAATTGCTATTCCTTTCTCTTAGGGGAATGTTTCCTCCCTGCTGAAGGCTGTGGAGCTGACGGGTTTTAGAGGTACCTGTTCTTAGTCCCCAGGAGGCCTAGGACCCTCTTTACAGGAGCAGTGGTGTGCAGGATGGGGGTGGGGCTGGGAGTCTTCCCAGGCATAACTTCCATCCCAAGAGTCTTAGCCTCTAGCTCTTCTGAGCACCCACTGGGGCCTGGGTCTGAGGCAGGTCTTCTTGCTTATAGGATGGTACAGAAGATGCTGCGGTTGCTGTGGTAACCACCTTCCACACGGGCTGAGATCCTGGTTGCCATGGCTGTCACCATATGCCCACTGTGGGCCGCAGAGGAGCCCCTGCCTGAGTTTTCAAGGTGAGGCCGTGCTGGTGGATTCACCAGGCGCCAGGTGTCAGACCTGTAGGTGCGAAAGGAAAGCCAGTGAGTCGGAGGCTGAGAGTACTGGGTGAACAGTTCTCTGGATCTCGGAGTTTAAATCTAGGTGTGGATTTTATCTCCTAAATCAGTGACTGCCCAATGAGGTGGAAGCAAGAAACTGAGGGACAGATCTCTGCTGCATTTCTGCATGGAGCCTTGGTCACATTTCCTCTGTGGTCCTCAATTTCCCCATATTTCTGGATATGGATATGAATCAGTGGGTTTTATCTCTATTCCCCGCCCACATGCACAAACACACTAGCTCTGTGAGCATGAATGATATAACAGCCTTATTTATCATCACCCAAGACTAGAAACCACCTAAAAGCCCTTCAGCCTATCAGTGATGAGCAGGCAAACCGGCTGCTGCATCAGTGCATGGAAACCATTCGACAACGGAAAGGAATGAATGAAGCGGGCATGGTGGCACACGCTTTTAATCCCAGTACTCCAGCCATCCTGGTTTACCAAGTTCAAGGCCAGCCAGGGCCACACAGAGAAACCCTGTCTCCATCAAACAAACAAACAAACAAACAAACAAACACAGAATGACTTCCAGGGGATCCAACTTTCTTCTGGCCTCTGCAGACACCAGGCACACACGTGACGCAGACACACATGCAGTACATGTGACACTCACATGTACACACAAAATAAAAACAACTAAAGCTGGAACCACCACAGGGACCCTCACACCCGGGCTCACTGCTGCACTGTGCACAGCAGCCATCAGAGAAAACCAGCTGCGACACCCATCAACAGACGAGTGAAACGACATTGGCAGAAAGCGGATGGGGCTGGAGAGAATTACATCATGTGTGAGAAGCAGACTCAGTCAAATACCACATCTCCTGCAGAGTCTAGACTTAGGTTTGTAAGTGCCTTTGTGTGAAAAGAGACTATGATAACTAATCGTCATTGTCAATGTGACTAGATTAACTTATTGTAGAGGAGCAGAGCTTAATAGAATGAATATATACATATAGATGTATATACAGTGGACATATATATATATACACACATATATATTCATTTCCTCCGTGACCTCTCTCTTTATATAGATAATATATATAATAAAC